GCAAGTGAACTGAAAAGAGATGGTGAAACTGTTGCGATGGTGTTCATGGTGGATACGTTCGCATGGCACCCTAAAGCCCTGACAAACGGCAAAGAATTCATGAGAAAAATCACAGAGTTAACCTTGAAGTCAACGGAAAAAATAGTGGTAAAGAAAAATATTAATTTTCCTATATTACTCAACCGGTAGCGTAGTACGGGGGAAATAGTTATTTTTATTCTTGTTTTTCAATTTGTTTCTATGTTTGGCAAAGTAGACACTTTGTTTCGGAAACTTCCGTCAGATTTTCCGCTTTGAATTAATGTTGAGACTAGAAAATTTTAAGTAAAATATTTAGCAGAACATCCTAAAATTGTTAACATGGGAAAACTTTGTTAATTAATATTTTTAATAAGTTATAATTTTGCAAAATTTGACAATTCTGCCGACGATAGTCGATATACAATTTTTCAATCTTTTACAAAAAAAATTTTTCCAATTTTGCCAATTTGGGATGATTTTTTTAATGTTCAACCCGGTGACGGATGGGTTTTTTAAAAATTGAGTTTCATACTGGTTTTCTGTATACTTCGAGAATCCAAGCCCTAAATATATTTCTCGATTGGTTTCTTTATTTCAATTAATGAGTGCGTATGTTGTTTACTTAAGAATTAAAAAACGAGTCGCGTGCCTTTATGGTGTAATAATGCACGATGGGGGAATGTTGGGAGAATACGAGAGAAGCTTGTAAAACACGAGGCGTACCGAGTGTTTTACAAGCTTCTCGAGTATTCTTCCAACATTTCCCCGAGTGCATTATTACACCATAAAGGCACGCGACGAGCTTTTTTAATTCTTTTATAATAAAAGAAGAAATTATAGGGCAACAAAAAATTTATTTATATGATCAATAATGGAATTCTCCTTACATGTTATTTAAGATGTTGCTTAGCAACAAAAACTTCAAAAGCCAGAAGCGTGCATTATGGCCTCACAATGCACGCGCAGTAGCCAATCAAATTGCTCATTATATCATACTTATATTACAATGAGAATTCACAATGTTTACTCAGGATGAGTGAGTTTTGAACACTACAAGAAATATTTGTAAACCAATGATTTACCTTGGTCAAAAAAAAAATGAATAGATAACCACTTCAATTTTTTGTTTTTTCTCCGTCGTAAATAATTACGCACGATTGGGCTAACAGAAAATGCTCATACATGTTACGTTGTATAAATTCCTTCTCAGACAAGACGACTGCTCGAAAAAATTGCCTTCGTCGAAATGGGTAAAAGTGAACATGACGTCAATGATTATTACGAGGAATTACAAGATCAGGAAAAGGTTATCGCTGTTTTGGAGAGTGAAGCTGCTGAAAAGAATATTGATCTTCGTTTGAAAGACAGAATTGAGACTACTAAGTACGAAGTCAAATCTGCTGCTGAAGCTCATTTAGATTGGCAGCCTTCTAAGGTATATTACATTCACTTTATTATGGTATTTTATTCACTAGGAGGAATTGCTCGGCACTTACATGGCAGCGACCGCTCTTCTTGTCTTTTGGCAATAATTATTAAATACTGAAGAGTGTGTACCGAAGGGACCGATGAATTATAATTTTTTTTTATTATTTTAAGGTATCCTATGACGGGGTATTGACATTCGTTTGCTGTGACGAGACTAAGTCGTTCTCCCTAAGCAAGCCAGAGATATGGAAAACGTTAGTTGAAAGAATAGATTTCCTTTACGCGCCTGGAAGTCATCTAAAAGTACGAGATGGAATTAGTGGAGAAAATTGTGGATCCATGATAATGACAACAGCAGCAATGAGCTATCTTTCAAAATCTCAACACCACAATTTCCTGGCTGTAAGAACAAGACGTCAAGAGAAATTGGTGGAATTTCTAAAGCAAGGAATACAAATCTGGATGCTTTCAAGTAAACAAAATATTACTATAGCGTAAACGTGCTTCAGAAGAAATATAGTTGCGAGAGCATCGGCAATCAAGCTGGGGAATCCTATTCTAATTAATAGCCCCATTTTGAAACCATTTTTAAAGAGCCTTTTGTTCTGTCACTTTTAGCGTGACTTCGAGCCTTGGGCTGAAAAATGGTAACTTGATGATAGCTTGACTTGGATTTTTACACAACTTTTACACCCTTAAAATTCAAAAAATTTATGTTAGGAAAAATTTTAAATGCCGCACATCGTTAATCGTTAATTATTTGTTGTGTATGTAGGTCTTCAAAATGGGTGAAAGGCACTCTCCAGTTAAATTCGGAAGAAACAGAGTTTAATTTTGAATATAAATTGTTAGGATTTTATACAGTACGAAAATTCTTTGTCAAAGGTAAGCCCCAGATTACAAATAACAACCCTAAATAAATAGACACCTTTTGAGTCAATATAAACTTTTCATCTGAATGAGAAAAAATATTAGTCTATCTTGAAAATTGTCGATAAAAGTAGAGGTCGGGTTTCGGTTCATTAAAATACAGCTGCAGTTACAAAAAGAACGACATAGTCAAAAGCCGGGTGCCATTGTGTTCATGGGATAGCGCCTCAACCCCCCCCCCCACACGCTGTATAGCTTGAAAATCCCAAGATGTCCCTCTTTTATCCGCAAAGTAACCTTCCTTTGAGGCTTCAATTATGCCCTCTTTGCGGCGTTCATTATTATGTGTAGTAATAATTGGTCAAAGATTTTTTTTAATGCTGTCCTGTTACCCTCATTAGATCAGAACATGAACAAAAGGCAATTTTTAGGTTAATAGAGTATTGCATGCATATTCATATGATTACTTTACCTTTTAAGATTTGACAAACATCATGCCTGGTAGGCATGTTGATGAAATCCGTAAGCGCCATGGCAACAATCCTTTCATTGATTTCCTCACTTGTATGCTGACCAAAAACGGCGGGATTTGGACGTTTCGTTCGTTAGATTTTCAGCGGCTCAAAATGCTGGTAGATGCTTTGGAAGCTCTTTTTGGAATACCGTTCGTGCAGTGACGGGGACTATAAAGGATTACGTTAAATCATTATAATTTCATATATAAGGTTAATAAGCAGTGTATTGTTTATCATTGGCATTTTTATTAAAATAACTCATACTCATGGATTTGTTGCAATGTAGTTTACAAAGTCTAGGAACTTATTAAGAAACTTAATTGTTCTAGGCAAAGTAAGATAAATCTTAGTAAAGCGTAGGACATAAATCCATGCAACCTATATTACAATATTACTTTTTTATATATCGCAAACAATAAATTTTTTTCTCTGCGTAAAAATATGTTCTATTTTGTGTGCGTGATCTTGCACGGAAAAAAAACACGTAAACGCCTTCGATTAACTTCGTTAGTTTGTTACAAACGGTTGTTGTTGGTTAGTTGGCGTATAAACGCTTCAAATGTTCGCACAAATGATTTTGAAAACGGTCGTAACTTGAAAGCACCTGTTCCAAACATGAAAAACCTTATACAGCAGTAAGCATTATAAAGTTTAGAGTTTTATTAAAAACAAATTTCAATGGTAGCTACGTAGGAAGTTGCATTGCATATGTAGAATTACAAAAGTTACAAACGTGATATACATTCAAAACTATTATTATTATTATTATTATTATTATTATTATTATATTGTGTAATGTGAAATCTAGTTTAGCCCTTTGTAAAATATGTAACCTCAAGTAGCCAATTGTAAGTTACCTTTTAAGCGAGATTTGCAATTGTATTTTTAAAAAATTGAATAAAAGTTTCATTATTATATTATTATTATTATTATTTATATTATTATATATTATTATGTATTAAAATGTATCGAAATTTTGTCACTCAGAGCTGACAAGAATGTGGTGTGCATCTCAAACAAATTTACCTAGAAATATATTCAATTTTACCATACGGTATATCAACAATTCACTTCCTACACGTCAGAATCTTGCAAGATGGGGATTATCGGCAACTTCAGATTGTTCAAACTGTTTATCTCCAGAAACACTACTACATGTAGTGGCGGTTGTAAATCGTATCTCGAACGGTTCACGTGGAGACATGACTCCATCTTAAACCTCCTCGCAGCCAACTTACAAACCATCAACGGCGCGACTCTCTTTGCCGATCTACCAAATTACAAGAGCCCATCAATCATCACTGGAAACTCCCACCGTCCTGACTTGCTTCTATTAACCTCTAAAGAATGTCTCTATATTGTTGAACTAACTGTTGGTTTGAATCAAATCTTGAAAATAATGTTAAGCGCAAAAAATGCAAATACTTAGAATTAATTAGAGAACAACGCAAACATTACCAAGCAGTAAAATTTATTAATCTATCAATTAGCTCTCTTGGTGTCTTTTCAAAAGAATGTTCGACATTCTTAGAAATGCTTAAAGATATTGGCTTTGAAAGGAACCACCATGAATACCTTATTAAACGAATGACGACGATTGCAATTCGAACAACCTATTACATATTTGTTGCCGGAATAAAGATTGGTCCAATCCTGAACTTTTAACATTTTGACCTATATTTTATAACGTTTTTTATAGTGATGTATTGTAGTTAATTGTAAAATTGTAGTTATTGATTGATTCAAGTAGCCGATTGTAAATTACCTTATATAAGTGAGATTTACAATTGTATATACCCTAAAAATTTATTAATAAAGTTTTCATTATTATTACTCCGGCGTCAGCGACGGAGTTGAAAATTCGCCCCGGTTTTGTTTTGTTTTTGTTTTTGTTTTTGTTTTTTTTTATTTTTCGTCGTCGCATGTCTGAAATGGCGCGAAATATTCTAGTATTCAAAATGTGTATGTGACCGTATTTATCTACGTCCCAGTCTTATCTCCCAAGAGTTGTGGTGCACAGCTTTGGCTAATTTTCCAATGCGCGATTCGATTTCGCTCGCATGATACGGCAATTCCTCCAAGAGGAACAAATAAACCGTTCTTTTCATGCTGCTCGATTAAGTTTAGATTGAATCGGAAGAATAATATTTAATACATGTAGATTCCGGTCCTATTTTAATAATATCGCTGCTATAATATATTTAGCCGTTTAACAAGATGATGTGGTCGTGTATGGGCGTGTTGACCCGCGTGTAGTTTGCACAGGATCGAAGATTTAATATAACTATATAACGCGAATTCCAAAGGCAAACGTAAGACGAAGCGAATGTATCATGCGGTTTATTTACATTTTTTAACAATTGAACTTCTATACTGCGATGTGCTTCTGAATTTCGCGATCGAACATTTAGGTTCGCAGGGCATCTAAATGCGAATATGAACAATACGCGAACTGTATTGTTTATGTTCAGAAGCTCTATATGAAGACTGGCACGTTAACGAGTTAACGCCAGAGCGGCGTTATTTATCAATCTTTATACACGGGATAAAAACATCAGTGTTTACAGGTATATACAACTGATATAACATGCAACTCTGCTATCCTTGTTTGTCCTGTTTCAGACTGAGAATAAGAACAAATTATCTAGTTATGATAAGTACAAGTAATATGAGAAGCTCCCTAAAAAGTTAAAAATCTATACTAGCTAAAAGTTAAGATTGAAAGTGGTCACAAATAAGTGACCTAAACTCTGTAAATTTTTTTGCCAACCTATTTTCTATTGGGAGACGGTTAGAAATATTTTCTCCAGCAAAGCGAAGCTTTAAATTGTTTTGCAACTTGAAGTTTACCACAGGGTGCCCGCTTCAGCGTTTGTTATTAAAATATCGCGTAAAAACCAATGCTGCAAAAATGACAAGAAACGACTTGCCGTTGAATTTAAAAATATATTCGACGAGAAAAATAACTTTCAGTTGAATTTAAAAAGTAATTCCAAGGTAAATTTGACAACAGTCTACAAGAATTGCATAAGAAAAAATGAAGGCAACTTTGTTATAAACGTACATGAAGTACTTCAGCGTGGGAGCCCTTAAGCACTGATGTTGGACCGCGGGCGCAACAATTATAGGGAGAGAGAGGAAAATAATAAAGGGATGAAACATCAAGAATTTGCTTTGTTTCAATGCCTTTTAAATACAGTTAATGAACTACAATTATTAGAACAATTGAGCGAAATTTTACAGTAGTAATCCTTCAAAGGTCGTATAAGTCAAACAACGGAAATGTTTCTTTGTACATGTAATTTGCTGTAAAAATATTCCCCTTATTTTCACGATATGTGTTCCGCAAGTAGCCAGGAAACTACGTCATCATCGGATCATCGCCAACTGTTCGGAATACTACGAGAGCTTGCGAGCATTTAACGAAAATCATAACAAAAAATTTGGCGGGAAAGTTCTTCGATATTACCACTGAGCTATATAATAATTCCTGGAGGACCGGCTCCTGATAAGAAAGCAGTGAACTCAATACAACTGGAACGATAACTCCAGTGATAAAGTCTCTAAAATTCTGCGATTGGCTGAAGCCAAATTGAGGAGTCTCGCCAAGCCTCGAGTGCAATGCTTGCGCGCGGACGAAGGTCGAAGCGTGGGGAATGATGTTCGAACAGTGGTTGTTTATGGCGGTTTTGAAAGTTATTTTTCTGTTAAAATTTACCAGTTTGGAATCTAATTTATCCTTTAATATTTGAAGCAAAACTGAAGTCAAAAACCAAGATAGGGAAAGCCGTTTAGATTCTGTGTTGATGGCTTGATAAAGGCAAAGGCGATAAGAAGAGAAAATTGTTCAAGAAATATGGTTGCTTTGGAATTGTAATAATTTTGTTAACGATATACCGACAATCGTGTTTATTAACAAACAGGTATTTAATTGCATTTTTTTTAACAAATTCTTATGACTTAGCAACTGATATTTAAACAATATTATATTGTAAACTTTATTGATTTCTAAAAAGAATCATCTTCGTTAACTGGTGCCTGACGCTCGGATTTCCATTAACCACCGCATTGTTGTATCGCTTTACGTACGTGAAAAGTCTCAAGGTAAAATAC